ACACTCTTGGATAGCCACTAAGGCTACAGCTTGTACTATACTAAAGGACTCCCTCCCCCCCCCCCCCCCCCCCCCCCCGCCAATGCACATGGAACATGGGTTTACTGAGAGTTTCTGGTGCCTATTGACAGTTGAAAGTTGTATTTTTCCCAATTGCACTGACTTATTTTACACTGGGAAAAGCTAGTGCACTCTCACCTGTGTTGCTTGCCTTCCTGACGCACATAAACTGCTGCTAGAGAAGTTCTGAGCCCACTACAAAGTCTTGGCCAGCCTTCTTGGAGGTAAAGGGCTCCCTGGATACCTGAAATTTGTTTTGGACACGAGACTCTGCCCACATTGCTTCTCGAGTGTATCTCTCCAACGTGTTGTTTTTGGCACTGATGAAGGTACGCCGTGAACTATGTTTTCCCTATGCCCCACCTAGTAGTTTCTACCTCCTGATGCTGGTTCTAGGCCAAGTTCAAATGCCTCTCAAGGCTGACGCTTCTATCTCACAGGGCTTGGCTTTCTGGAAAGGCCCTTTGGGAGCCCTTACCTGTGACACTCTATGTAGAACTGTTCCGCTGACAAGTTGTCTCACCCGCTGTTCCATGTCAACAACCTGGAAGGAAATGTCAAGGATGCACTAAGTACCAGGTTCTCTGGCATCACATCATGGTGTGGATGTTTTGGAGCCTCATCAGAAGACTCCGCTCCTTCCACAAATACACGGCCACCTTCCCAAAGGTCATGAGAACCTGAGCAGGGTCCCGTGAGTGCAGCTGGAGCCACTGGACTCTGAGGGGCAGGGCTGGGACCCAGGTACCAGGTCCTAACCTGGCACCGGTCACAGCATGGGTGTTATTGAGCCTCAGGCTCATCTCTTGCCCAGTCTGGCTTTGCTCCAGTCACCTTGTATCTTCGCTCTGCAACCCAGCACCTTTAACCTCACCATAACTTAATTTTAACACAGTTCCCTCAGCTAATTTGCAGTCACTTCCCATTCTCTTTGGGCAGTAGAGATGACTGCTGCTCACCATTTCATTTAGGAAATGACAAGAGGGGAAAAAAGTCTACCTAGGCTCAATAGAACTTTCTTTTTCTGAAAAATTTCAATTGGCAGTTGGTTGCATCCACAGATATGGGGACCCACAGATTCGGAGAGGGGGTTCAAAGATCACTGTCAACTGCATTCAGCCTCTCCAATTCAGAATTCTTTACCACCTAAGGACTGGAAGATGCCATTCATGACAGGGTACCATAGGACATCTTCGGTAGTTCAAGGAAATATGGTGGAAATCGGGGGGGGGGGGGGGGGAAACCTGGAGAATCACCAAGTAGAATCAGCAAGAAAGTATAGGAACCAAGGTTTGGGGCTGGAGACTGACAGAGAATGCGAAAGGAGAGGCAAAGACTGGGGAGTTTCCTGACGATTCTGTGTTATTTGTCCTTTAAAGTCTGAATACAGATCCTCAAAATGTAATAAAAAATAAAGCCAGGCACTGGTGGCTCACACCTGTAATCCTAGCTACTTAGGAGGCTGAGATATGAGGACTGCGGTTCAAAGCCAGCCTGATTGGAAGTGGTGCTGTGGCTCAAAGTCGTAGAGCACTAGCTTTGAGTGTAAAAGCTCAGGGGCAGCACCCAGGTACTGAGTTCAAGCCTCACAACTGACCAAACAAAAAACATATCAAGAGGCACTTGACTCATTTCTGATAGTCCCATCAGAAGTTTCTGGGTTGTCACGGCATATAGACACTGAGAACAGGATACTGGGATCAGTCTGCTACTCTCAGGATTGTTCTTTTGTTCCATGTGAGGAACTGCCACGATGGAGGGGTAGAAGCCATGGGTATGCCAGGCACAATGTGCCCAACCTTTCAACCGCCTCCCACAGTCAAACAAGCAGCCATCCTTTATTAAAAAAATGCAACACACACATCGGGTTTTAATGAGAAAATAACTGTATACTTGCATCGAATGCTTCACAATCACTATAAAACCAAAGCAGGATAATAATAACATTTAAGTGGTTAACATACACAGGAAAGCCAGATACAGATTATAATTTTTAAACACAGTATTGCTGCTTCCCCCTCCCCCACACCCTCCTCTAATTAATAATAATAATAAAAAGAAACAAAGAAAAAAACTCATGTGGGTAAAGAGCAACACAAGATCAAAATTGGCAGCTTACTGAATACTTAGAATTCAGGAAATTGGTTTTGAAACTAAAACTGGATATAGTCACCATCTCTAAACACTTAGGCTATTTTTTTTTTTCAATATATGCTTAAGTTAAGTTCATCCTTCAACTGGAAAAAAAATGTCTTTAGAGATAAGAGTCAACACTGTTTTAGTGTCCCTTGTTATGCTTTGTGTGGTGTGTGTGTGTGTGTGTGTGTGTGTGTGGGGTGTGTGTGTGTGTGGTGTGTGTGTGTGGTGTGGACACTGGTCTATATACTGCTTGTATGCCATGGCTGAGGGTAGGCAGCATGCATGGGTACACAGAGGCAAGGAAATTACATGTGCCATCCAAGTAGACCTCCTACCATGGACAGACCCCGTTTCCATAAGTTCTGCATGAGAAAGGCAAGGCCTGTCAGTACTTAGTCCACTTCAGAGGAAAGTGTACGTCTATAAATGCAGCAGCATGGGACACTTTCAGGAAGGTTTTTAATATCACTAAGAATCTAAACATCTGTTATCAATGTGTGCTGGTTGAGGGTGGACAGAGCTTCAGAGGCAAAGTTGTTCATGAGCCTCTTCCTCTTGGTTCAGAGGCAGGAATGACCTTCCACCAGGGTTCCTTGCGCTATGTTTAAAAGGTTACAGGGGCTCCTGCAGGATCCTAGAGCCTAGCACAGTGCTGTGTCCAAAGTGGCGGCCTGGTGTTTCTTGAATGAGTAAAACTCAAGAGCACAGAGAAAGTCTGGCATGCCCTAGGAAACTGTAATTTACAGGATTATCAGTGAGGTGGGTAAGGAAATTAGAAAGTAGTCCAAAGGCATGTAGGAGAACTCCAAAAGATGGTAGTAGAGGAACTCATAGTTAAAATTCACAGAAACCAAATTGATTTCCTCATCTATACCTGCAGTGTGGCCCAAAAGACTCGGGCTCTGAAACTGTTACTCCTTAAGGAAGACAATCCACTGCAGTCAAGTGTCCTTAATCATCTGCCTTACCAAGTGACTGCCTGAGTTTTGTGACCTAAGCTTTCCTCTTGGCTGTAAACTATCTTCTCCACAACCATGGCTTTCCCTCCCATGAGTTTATAGCCCCTTCCAAACAGAAACAAAACTCCATGCCTACAGTCCCAAGTAGATCCTTTCAGAAAACACGAAGCCTCCACACAAAGCAGCCCACAGAACCAGACTACTCTCTAGCCATCTAACAGGTGCTCTGTGCCTGGGGCTAGGATGCTGTTGCCTCCTCTGTTCTTATACTGATGTGTCTCTCTTGGGAACACCTCTCCTCATGAGGACCTCAGTCCAGACATCTGGAACCTTCAACTGGAAATTCATAGACAAAAATGGTCCTCCTTTCTCAGACACTCCGAGGAAGCAGGAGTTCCAATCTGCCTCCAGACAAGATGCCATTTTTTCTGGTAATGTTTGTCTCTAGAGCAGCCTCCACCACTAAAAAATGAATTCCTTACAGCAGGGAACTTATTTGCTTTGTGTCATCAATGGCTAATATTCTGTTGACTGTTCCACCTTCCACCTTCAGGCTGGAAGGATGATAAATCATCTAAAAATTGCCATGTGCTACTTTAGCTATCATCTGCAAAGTTTGGCTCTTCATTTCAGTCTCCCTGGACCATTTTAAAGGATTGTACAATCCCATCTTTTGATCTTGTGCCCACCACTCGTCTGCGAATACGCTTTCTCCCCCACCCGGTCAACACTCGTCTAATAAAAAAGCAACATAATGTGTATAGCACTACATATACGTTTTGTGGAATTGCAACTTATTTGAATAACATATTACAATTTATGACATACTATGAAAACAAATGAATTATAGTGAGGTCTAATTTAATTATTGCTTTTCTTAAACCATAGTTTTAAAACAAAGGAAAAATAATGAAGGCTTGTTAGGTATTTATTCCCCCTCGTGATCAGAAATAGAACATTTCTCATCCAGAAATTTAGGGCACCCAGTTAAGTGAACGCCCTTATAATATTGCTTTAAAAGACAGAACAAGTAAAGCTGGCATCCTCTCTAGTAGACTAAGCATGAATATAAAGCATGGAATAAATAGGATATGTTCCTAAATGTCAAGTTACAAAACTGCTCAAAACTCTGCAATTGTGACTCATGCAAATACCATGTTAGGTCAACTTAATATTATAAATACTGCATCAGCTCAGTGCCATTATATCCCTTTTCATAAAAAAGAAATTCTCACTTGCTCCTGAAGCTAGTAGACAGCTTTGGAGGAAATAACTGTACACCCCTATGTCACGATCAATCTGGAATTTTCACACACACACACACACACACACACACACACACACACACACACTCTTATTCTTGAACGCATGCCACACAAACACACAAAGGTGTACGTGTACACACACACACACACACACACACTCTTATTCTTGAATGCATTCCACACAAACACACAAAGGTGTACATGTACACACACACACACACACACACACACACACACACACACACACACACACACACACCATCTTTAGGATTTGTAGCTGATTCCAAGCCTGCACTTAAATTTCTATTCTATAGTTTTCTCTTTATCATTCTGAAAAAACACTGGTTGCTCAGCAAAAATAATCTTACTTTTTTATTTTCCTACTCTTTCCCCCTCCCTCCATTTTTCTCTCTCTACCTCCATGACATTTACATACTTCCTTTCTGATAGATCCCAAACAACTGATCCTTCCTCCCTACTACTTCTAAGGCCCACTTTACAATACAAAATAGCTATAAACACCTCTTTACTTCTGGCCATCTACCTCTCCAAGGCAGAGTTTCCCCCCTTTTTTTTCTTCAATTATTGCCACTCTAAAAATACCCCTGCTATCTTGAACCAAGCTGTTCAATGTGTATAGACTTTACCCATGTTTCTATTTCCCCCACCCCATCATAAAAATAGATGTTGCCCACTAAATATAGTTTTCCTATGAAGAAACAAAACTGTGGAAATGTGTTCTAAACTGCAGATCAGTCAATAGTAAATGCAGACACGAAAGATCCTAAAGCTAAAGTAATCCATTTGGTTTGGCTTTCTCTTCCACCTTTCTCAAACTCCTGGTATAAATTTTATGTACTGAAACCATTCATTGCTCCCAATTAGAAATAATTAAATGCAAGTTGAGATTGAATCATAACTGCCTCTTGGGCATGATGGAGAGAAACACATTTTATGGCTGCTGGAGAAAATGGAGTCAACCCAACACCTCTGGTGTCAAGAGCAAGGGTCAGAAAGAAACAGAGAAATGGCCTATACCATGTCGACTACACCAGCTGGGGACCTACTGTCCTCCTGGTGGCCTTTTGCCATTGTTCTCTGTCTTTACCCTGCCAGGCTGGTCTCGGTTCTGCCGGCAGCAATTAGATTGATTTGCTTGTGATGTCTCTGTCCTTTTGGATCAATTGTGGACGGGGCCCAATCCAGAGGTTTCTTCTTGAGTCACAAAGAAATCCTTTCTCTGCTGATTCCTAGGTCTCAAGAGTTTGATGGGTGGATTGACTTCCTTTTTGATGATTATTTTTTTCATTATTGTGTATTGCAGCTTCTGATCTACATAAGGATTGCTGAGTTTGTGTGCATTTTAATAAAGAGTCCATTAAAATGCTTTGATTTGATCATGTCTCGGTTTCTTGGTATCCCAAGCACCAAAGAAGTTTCCTGGGCTGAAAGTTTACTCGTTGTCCTCTTCCTCCTGGTTGGCATAGATCCCTGCCTCCCAGCGCAAGGCCAGAGCACTCTTTCTTCTATTAACCCGGGTGGCCTCAAGGACCTGAAAAGACAGAAGGGAAAAAACATTAGCATTCATGAATGTTAATTATACACACAGACAAATTTCCTTCCTGTTTCTTTTCTCTATTCTGGTACTGCTTACTAAGTGTGGGTGATGGGTAGAAGACAGACAGAAACAAAGGTGGCTGGAAGGTTCTGAGTATATATTAATCTCAAAGCTAAAATTAATTTACTATGTGATCCACAGATTCCAAAAGACATCTAATGTGTGCTCAGTAAATCTCTTTAAACTAGACTTGCTCTGCATCAGGTTTTTGTCTTGTTTTGATTTTTGCCATGATGCTGGGGACTAAACCCAAGGCTTTGTGCATATGAGGCAAGCACTCTACCATTGCACTTACCACACAGCCATACCAGCAGCCTAGCATCGAGTTTTTAGGTAGAGCAGATCCTTACATGTTGTTCAGTACAGTGCTATCCAATAGAAATGTATGTAATGATTTAACTGTTCTGTATCTGTGCCATCTAATATACAGTAGTTATTATTCATATGTTGCTACTGTGCATTGGAAATAGGGTCACTGACTATTACAAACTATAAAAGAAACGGCAGAAAGCAGTGCTTAATTATGGACCAGTGTGGATTTAATTCTCCAAGCTTTGTGGATTTATATAAACTATGGTCATATTTATATCACAAATCTACTTTACATAATTAAACATAAAGAGTTGTTTAGTGGGAAAAAGCTTTTCAGGTTATTTAAGAAGATAGGAATTTGATGTAATGATAGGGCCAAATACACTAATAAAAGAAATTAATAGCCAGTCGATGGTGGTTCATGCTTGTAATCCTAGCTACTCAGGAGGCTGAGATCTGAGAATTGTGGTTCAAAGATAGCCCAGGCAGTAAAGTCCATGAGACTATCTCCAGTTAATCACAGAAAAAGCCAGAAGTGGCATTGTAGCTCAAGTGGTAGAGTGCTGGCCTTGAGCAAAAGGAGCTCAGGGACAGCACTCAGGCCCAGAGTTCAAGCCCCAGGACTAGCAAAAAAAGAAAAGAAAGAAAAAGAAGAGAAAAGGAGGGAGGGGGAGAGAGAGAGACAGAGAGAGACAGAGAGACAGAGAGAAAGAGAGAGAGAGAAACAAGGAAGGAAGGAAGGAAGGAAGGAAGGAAGGAAGGAAGGAAGGAAGGAAGGAAGGAAGGAAGGAAGGAAGGAAGGAAGGAAAGAAAGAAAGAAAGAAAGAAAGAAAAGGAAAGGAGGAAATTAAAAGTCACACTGAGGGCAAACAGGCTCACCACTATGTCCATGGGGCTCATTTTCTTTTCCTTCTGAGCACTAAAATAATCTGTGGACTCCAGCTCTCATTTGTTTAAGATGTTGAATAGCCATACAAATGAGGGTGAATGAAAAGCTCATTATTAATAAATGAATTATTTGAGCTCTTGATAGAGTTTTTCAAGCCATACCAAATGGTCCTCGCTGTGACCATGGCTGCTGGAGAAGACGGAAGGTATGAGTGACCACTTGTTCCATAAGTGAGCCTTGATGTTCCTCACATCAGTGCCAGGTGGATGGCACTGAGGTGGCTGACATGGACTTAGGTCCAGGTCATGGCACTGCAGCCAAAGCAATTCTTTCCATGTCAACACACACCACAGCACCAGCTAAGGATGTAGTTTCCAATTTTCCAGTGGAGCCAGCGCTAAACTTAAATGAAGACTTTGCATATTCTACAAATCATTTGGGCCAGGGACAATGATGTGGATGACTGCAGAAAAGCAGAGAGCTGCAGGTTACTGGGCAGGTGAGAGCTTGGGCCTAAGCAGATTCTGAAGAGAGGAAAGGGTCTGGTATCTATCTCAGCCCATGAAGTGGCTGGGCTTCGGAGTATTCCACTCCGGGAGGCCTTCCTCTAGCTGGGCCTAACTGCAGTGTGTTGTTACATTTGCTGAGTGAATTAGATATTGTTAAACACCTAGGCAGTGTAATAAAGTGTCTTGTTTATAAGTACACCAGAGCTGCTGAACATCCATGGGTAATAAACTAGTCTGCAGAAAGCATGCTTTCAAGGCTGGTGTGGTTAAATGGAGGATTTTTTTCTGGCCAATAAAAATGGAGGGATGATGCAGGACTGGACTTGGAGAAGGCCTGCAGCATATTTCTGGTTTTGTTCTTGCTCATCTTACGTGTCAAGTCTTTTTGTGCATAATATGCCCTACGGCCCACTCTGATGTAGGGCGGTCTGGGTTTAAATCGAAGGGATGCTATAATCTTGGAAAAGTCACTTAACTTACTTCCTTGTATCCTTGAATAAACAGGCATAAGGAAAGCTATAAAGTAGGAGTTGACTGACTCTTAAAGCGATATAGGTAAAGCATTTAACACAGCTCCAAGTTCATAGTAAGTTATAAAGTAATTATTTCCATCAATCTGTACAAAAATTTATAAACTAAGAAGTGGAATGCAAAAAATACAAGGCTTTTTTGGGGGGGAGGGGGCGGGGGAGAGTTGTGGGGCTTGAATTCTGGGCCTGGGCACTGTCCCTGAGCTCTTCAGCTCAAGGCAAACACTCTACCACTTGAGCCACACACAGCACTACTTCTGGTTTTTTGGTGGCTAATTGGAGATAAAAGACTCATGTGCTTTCCTGCCTGGGCTGGCATTGAACTGTGATCCTCAGATCTCAGCCTCCTGAGTAGCTAGGATCACAGGTGTGAGCTACCGGTGTCCAGCAACAAGGCATTTTAAATAAGGGTTTCTATGTTATATAAAATGCTCATCTGTGCCTTACAGATTGTAGGTACAAACTAAGTTTTCTATGAAAGCTGGAAATAAGGTTCTGGGGGGGGGGGGGGGCAGGGGGGGAATGTGGCCATCATCCTTTTCAAATGTTCCTTGTTATTTAAAATGTTTCCCCCCCCCCCCCCCCCTGCTGGTCCTGGGGCTTGAACTCTGGGTCTGGGCACTGTTCCTTAGCTCTTTTTGCTCAAGTTAAACCTCTACCACTTGAGCCACAATGCCACTTCTGGCTTTTTCTGGGATTAATTGGAGATAAGTCTCGTGGGCTTTCCTGCCCAGGCTGGCTTTGAACTTTTATCCTCTCAGCCTCCTGAGTAGCTAGGATTACAGGCATAAGCCACTGGTGCCTGGCTCTTAAACCTCATTTTAATGCTTAATCAACCTCAGCAAATTTGGCTTGCTTTATTTTTCAGGAACCTACATTAAAATCTATCTATACTTACTGGATTCCTACCAACTGTCAGGCACCACATTGCTGGTCACCATGGAGACATTTAGCAGGGGCTTGGTTTGAATAACTCATCAAGAGCTCAAATAATGCCCTTCTACATAATAAGCTCTCCATTCATTCTTTCTTATTTGGATGGCTACTCAACATAATCCTGAATTTCTCATGAACTGTTATTAAAATTTATACCATATAACCTTGGAATAAAGGTCACCAGATTCCCTGGAATTCATAAGACTTAATATCTAAGACTGTGTTGGGGTAAAGGCAATCTACATTAAGCCTTCAGAGAATTCCACATCCAAGCCCTTGGGGAAGGTATAAATGGGCACTTGTTCTAATTAATTTAGATTTGTGTGGGTATGGGTGTGTGGATACATCTCTAGCAAATTTAGACCTCTACACACTTGGGTTCTTACGTATTACTTTGGCTTTCAAAAATGTATTACCCTCTTTTCTGGCTGTGTATGCCTTAAATTCCAAAGACTATGAACTAGTTACTGCTTTAATCTTCAGAACTATTCTATGAGCTTCATATTATCATTGTTTCCATTTATTTATTTATTATTTCTTGCCAGTCATGGGGCTTGAAATCAGGGCCTGGGCACTATCGTTGAGCTTTTGTGTCTGTCTGTTTTTTCTGGTAGATAATTGGAGATAAGAAGCTCATCCTGCCTGGGCTGGCTTCGACCCTCAATCCTCCCATCTTAGCCTTCTGGATATCTAGGAATACAGGTGCAAGCCACCAGTGCCCAGTTCTTGCTCCCATCTTACACACCAAGATACCAAAGCACCACTCAGAAGGAGGAAAGGCCAAGGTTTGAACCCAGCATTCTGAGTGTGGAAGTGACTCTGGAGGACATCAGGCTACATAGCTGCTCAGTGGCTGTGAGGAGCCTGGACCAATAAACATTCCATGCAAATGAAGAGAGGGAAACATAAAAAAATATAAAATAGTAACAGGACCTAATTTTAAAGTTTTGTTGTTTTTACAAAGTAAAACAAATTTAGATTGGGGGGGGGGGGGAGATCAGGGAGTCAATTATTTTTGAACAACACTCTAATTTTGTCTTTCTAACACTTAGGAAATTCAAGACAATTGCTTACTTTGGCAATATAGACTAATCTATTTTGGGGATGAGAAACAAATGACAAATATGTTAAATCATGAATATTAATATTTTATTCTCTTAGCTATACTAAACTTCTAGTAAAGTGAACTAAGCCCAGTTGTAACTACTTAAATATACTTAACCAGATTTTCCCTGTTCCATACTATACTTAGACTCCAATAGAGTTTGAGATTAGGGCCTAATTCTCAAACTGCTGTCCCCCAGGGAAGAACCATGATTAGACAATGATGAAGGTGAATGGATTGATAATTCTCAACATTCATTTTATACCACATGAGTAACAATTACTGGAAATTGACAGGTCAAATCTATAATCAAATACAACTGTTCTGTTAGATACTGATATATGGAAATATAATCTTTATATTTATATATAAAAGGGATAAATACAGCCAATGTGAAGAATAATTGTACTATTTAATGAACAGATACCAGCTCAATCCTAGGTAGAGAAGCTATTCCATAAGTGCATAAAGGAACATGTATAATGATATTTATGAAAGCTGGGGATGTAGCTCAGAGATAAGGTGTTTGCCTAGCATGCAAGGCCCTGAGTTTGATCTTTAGCACCACAAGACACATTTTAAAACTTCTTTGAAGCACTGTAGTTACAAACAATATCATCAACAATAAAAATGATAAAAAAAGTAGGAACAATCTAATCTATGTGTCCATCAATAGGAGAGTGAAGTTATATATTCATTCAATGGAATATTACTTAGCATTCAGAACGAAGGTACTGGAAGTGTAAGTACAACACAAATGCATCTAAGTATAATATAGACAGAAATAACATCATTACCGTCTATAGGAAATGTGACAACATGCAAAAATGAAAGCTATTTTACATACATATATGCACTATATATATATATAGTGTATATACACACACATATTAGAAAAACATGCATGGAAATGCACACCAAGAAGAAAAGAGCATATGACAAAGAGAAAAGTGGGAACTGGATGTTAACAAGAGGGCTTGAATTGTATTTGTGACATTAATTAACTTCTTTTAAAAATATTAAGCAAATATGAAGAGAACAAAGGCAGCAAGACAGGGTTCATCACTTCATTGTGTTCTATTATTGGAATGTTGGCTCCACAATCAGAATTTTAACTTTTGTTTTAATGACTGTGATGTTTTGTGAATCTGGCATATGTATCTGACACATAGTAGGGCCTCAATAAATTGTGGAGTGAATAAATGTGTGATTATCTCTATAAATCTGTACATTGGAAAGTATTCTTTCAAAAAGAAAAGAAGGGAGTGGTGCTGTGGCTCATAGTGGTAGAGCACTACCCTTAGTGAAAAAAGCTCAGGGATAGCACCCAGGCCCTGAGTTCAAGCCCCACTACTGACCAAAAACAAAAACAAAATAACAATAATAAAAAGAAAATTCTTGGGGCTGGGAAGGTGGCTCAGTGGTAGAGTGCTTGCCTTGCATGCACAAGGCCCTGGGTTCGATTCCTCAGCACCACATAAACAGAAAAAGCTGGAAGTGGTGCTGTGGCTCAAGTGGTAGAGTGCTAGCCTTGAGCTGAAGAGCTGAGGGACAGTGCCCAGGCCCAGAGTTCAAGCCCCATGACTGACAAAAAAAAGAAAAGAAAAGAAAAGAAAAGAAAATTATATAGAAGCCGGGCGCTGGTGGCTCACGCCTGTAATCCTAGCTACTCAGGAGGCTGAGATCTGAGAATCGCGGTTCAAAGCCAGCCCGGGCAGGAGAGACCGTGAGACTCCTATCTCCAATAAACCACCAGAAAACCGGAAGTGGCGCTGTAGCTCAAGTGGTAGAGCGCTCGCCTTGAGCTGAAGAGCTGAGGGACAGCGCCCAGGCCCAGAGTTCAAGCCCCACGACCGACAAAAAAAAAAAAAAAAGAAAAAAGAAAATTATATAGAAATAAACATGAAAAATATTGTTTCTCAAAGTGAGAAAAATTTGGGAGGAAAAAAAAAACAAAAAATTAAAGCGAGAAATACTGTGCTTTTTTGGCAGCACACATATTTGTAAAATCTGGGTGAAAAAGGAAATTGTAAGTGAAAGGAGACCATGGAGGAAGGCTAATGTTTAAGATTTTTAAAAAACCAACAAACATCTCTTTCTCTCAATCTCTCCCTCTCCCTGTCCCTCTCTCTCTTTCTCTCTCTCTCTCTCTCTCTCTCTCTCACACACACACACACACACACACACGCACACGCACGCACACACATGCACACACACACACCATATACAGGTTTCAAGATTGACAGGAGGATCTGAGATGGGTATCGATTGGAATAACTCATCCTAAACCTTTGAGATGGAATGTTCTGGATTGGTGTCAAGATAACAAAAGATTGATCAGAATCAACAGCCCATTCTAATCAGACCGAAGTACGTCTGCTATGAATGCCTAAACAAATGGAAAGACTCCAAACTTCCCATTAGTTGTGCCCTCTAGTTCAAACATCTTCCAGACCCAAGGATGGGCAGCAGGGTCTTCTCAACCCCACCTCAGCGCAGCAGGGCATGGCACGGTGCATACTTGTTGCATGGACTATGGTATTTTGAGGCATTCCCCCAATTCCGGAAGGCAGGAGGAAGTACATATGGAGACAAGCCAGTTTTCTTGTCATTCTCATCGGACATAACAGGAAATGGCAAACCACACAGCATGCACCTGGGCCAAGCATGCATCAAGACCAAGACAAACAAGTTGAAAAAGTACCTCAGAAGTCACCTTGCAAGACAGTAACTTAGAGGTGTACTGGCAGAGAGGAAAAAGACCAGGGTTAGTGCACGGCAGAGACTCACAGAAGACCCGCTAGCTGGGAACCAGCACCCAGCCAGGAACGGATGGATAGAGAGTAACTTCCGGAGACTGTTAACACGCCTACTAGGCCTTTCATCATCTGATATTCATGTATTTAAAAGTTGGTATCTCTTGAAGCAAGTAGATATCCTGTTATTCATCAATAAAAATATCAGATACGATAGACCTTGTTAATTCAGCTGTTGGCTTTCATTGAATATTGCCCATTGAATTAACAAGATTCCCTTCCATCTGTGTATAGCAAGCTCCCACTAGCAACGTCCTTGACAGCTATTTGGGATTTGAGGCTATAGCCAAATGGCCTTTTAAGCTTCTCTGAACCTTAAAGCAATCATATAGCCCTGTAGGCTATGAAAAGAAGACCTTAATCATAGACAGGAGTTTGTTTGCAGGCAAGGTTTCCGGAGGCAGATTCTCTTAAGATGGTGCTATCTAGAAGACCACCTAGCCCTACTGACCAGAACTTTGAGAAGCACTGTGCCTAAACACAGTCATGCAGCTCATAACGCACTGATGAATCAGTTTCCTAAAGGATTTCTCCGGTGCCTTGGGGGAAAAGTCTAAATAGTTCATTGTCAGCACCCTCCAGTATATACTTGTTCCAGACCTAGGGCTGGCCATGTCTTCTCTAAGCCTCTTAGCAAATGTCCTTCCACCGTGAGTTGCAGACTGATCAGAGATGATATCAGACCCAGAGAAGAAGCACTTCCATTTAAGATAACATTTGCAGCTAAGAAGAACTGCAGTGATGACAGCGTGGCCACGTCTAAGTGTTTAGTGCACACATTGTACAAAGGACCCAGGCTAATGAATGGGATGAATGGGGCTGAAACCCAGCTTCTTGCTCCCTTCTCTCAACAAAACCACAAGGGCTGGTGCAGGGGTACTGCCTCCCAGAAGATTCCTTTCTATGTACAGTATTTTTTTTCCTTCCAGCATCTGCACCCCAACAGAAAAAGCAGGAAATATGCAGAATACTTAGAATGTGGGGCAGTGCGAAGTGGTTCTGCTCACTCTTTCCAGCAAAGCTGCTGATGCATGGTTTGGAATCATGGGCAGAAAAGAAACAATATATTATCACAGTATACTTCAAAATGGCCATACCAAAAATACCTAACGGTAAATTCTATAACTAAACCAGGGCTGCAAAGAAGAGCTGGCTAAAGTGATCTAGTGGGCAAAACAAACCCAATAGGTCCAGGGAGGGGCTGCGGCGACTCCTAGTGAAGCCCACTGGAAATGTCCCCTGCAGCCAGCAATCGTTTGCCTCCAGGGAGCTAACTATTACTCCCTGAAGTTTAGGATCCACATAGGGAAAAGGCCTGGGAGGTGCCCGGGCTGCTGGCTGTCCACGTTCATCCTTTTTTTACCACTCTTTACTTTTACAGCAACTTTCAGCATCTGACTTCAACTCCAGAAAACCGGGCCACTTTAAAGAGTGAAAGGGGTAGTACTCATAATTATGCTGGGACAAAAGGCAAAAACTAGGTAGGACTGACCTAGGTAAAAAGGGTAGTTTATCAAACCTGACTGTCATTGTGGGGTCAGTATAATGGCCTTGAGGAATGCTAAGAGACTCTAGGGGGTGACATCACACTCCAAGGCTGACCCTAGGCTCTTAGGGGCCCTGAGCAACAGCTAGCACTTCAGTATCATTCCAGACAAAGAAACTACGGAGCACGTGGCTTCTTTCCTAGGGGGATGTGAAAACCATGTGCCAACTTCTCAGGGTTTGAGGGTACTGGGGTGAGTTGGGTGATTTTTTTAAAATGGCTCTCCTGCCAGCTGCACATGGGCAGAACACTGAGTGACATTTATAAGGATTGTCCAGAAGAGATTTCGAAGGAGCAGCATTTTATATGACAACATGTCTCATAGACATAATGCGTATGAGACATGAAATTTTCTACAGAGTAGGTCAAGCCATTCCCTGGAGTGTAGGGATGGTTCTGGAGTGCTTTTGTCCTTTTTGCCCTGGGTGGCCCCCAATGTCCCCCTCCACATCCACTGTCTGGTGCACCAGACTTACAGTGAGCTTGAGCTGGACTTAGTAGCAGGAGGACCCACTTCTTGACGACTGACATTTTTGAGATAGGAAGCAAAACCCCAAACCCCACTCCAGGCATATTAAGTCACACATCTGGAAACTGGGTTTGGAACAGTGATGCGTGCAAGCCAGACAACTGTACACACATCCATGCCTACACTGGAACACCATTCACCACACTAACAGTTGCCTTCTGAGAAGTGAAAGGAAGGGAGGAAAAACTTACACTACTATCATCCATTCTCTCGCGCCTTTTAGATCTGTGTGTCTCATAGTCTTCCATGAGGGTCTGCATCAGGTTCTTAGGCCTCTGGGTTCCGGCAGCCTCTTCGGAAGCTAAGTCAGGCTGCAAGCTGGGACCTTCAGTGGTAGGGGATGGAGGAGGTTTGACTTTCTCTATTTTCCCTGAAACAAAACATGAAGAGAACACCCTTTCTAAGCTTATCTGCTCACAACTACTTTCAGAAAGAGAAAACTGGCGCACGCACGCACACACACAAATACCAAATAAAAAAGAAAAGCAACTATGACAGACGGTGGCATCAGAATAATTGTTAAAGACAGGCAGTTTCATTATCAAGAACAAAAGCATTTAAAAGACAATTATAAACCCATCCATCCATCCAAACAGACTTCAAGGATGCCAGGCCAAACACATCAGTTAGCGCAAACAAGCCTACAAGGAACTTTGCATGAAGACACGCGTTCTGTGGCAGATCACAGTATTAGATTGTCAAGAGGAGGCGGCGCCTTGGAGCCTTAGGGAACCATGACTTACAGATGAGGAAACGTTACAGTAAGCAAGGGAAAGGCTGTGCTGAGGTTGCTGGAGGCAGGAGGAATAAGATTCCGGCTTCCTGGTTTCTGGACTCTATGTCTAAGGTGGCTAGTTGTCAGCTTATCTGTCAGGCTTTCTGCACAGACTGTGAACTGCTAAAAACCCTTTGAATGAGAGTGAAGTCTGCTTGTTCCATGTCCCCAGACACCCAGGAGAGCAGAAAGTATTTTTAACATGCAGAAGAGGACCCTCCAATTTCACAATCACAATTTCGTGAATAACTTAGTGAAACCCAGTGCTTTGAATCAGCCCAACCAGACAACCAAACAGTAATAATAATAAACTGAAGTCTCCAAATTCAAACCTGGCTTTTATGTTTTATGGAAATTAGGGAATGTTGTAATGATCCCACAAACATGATAAACATCAACTAGTCCCAGGATAAACATTTATCAAGATTTTGTCATCCTTGGTCCTTAAGCTCAAACTTTTAAAAGAAATTCTAGACCTAAGGTCATTTCACCTCTGTGCATTTAGTATGATCCCCTGAAAATGGCAACAGGCATGAGCAGAAGCTTTGAGAAACAGTGTCGCACAGGGGAGGGAAACTCTGCTTGAGTTTGAGTCCTCTGCTTTGCAACCAAATAATCCTGAGCCAGTTAGGTACTGTTTAGATCTCAGTTTTCCCATTTGTAAAATGGGCATGATAACAGATACTTGTTCTATAGACAGCTTCTTAAAGACTAAGCTAACACTAAAAAAGTTAATACTTGGGCCAGGTGCAGGTGGCTCACACCTATAATCCTAGCTACTCGGGAGATGGAGATCTGAGGGTTGTGGTTCAAAGCCAGCCCTGGCAGAAAAGTCTGTGAGACTCTTATCTCCAATAAACTACTCAAAAAAAAGCTGGAAGTGACGCTGTGGCTCAAGTGGTAGATGCTAACCTTGAGCAAGAAGCAGCTCAGGGATAGCATCCAGGCCTGAGTTTAAGTCCCAGGACTGGCACCAAACTAAATAAACAAAATTTAATATTTAGAACAGAAAGCATTCAATGAACCTAGGTACTATTTCACTGCAATCTCAAAGATTAATATGACTACAAAGTAAGCACGAACCACTCTGGGGGTATTTTTGCAAATCTTTTTTGTGATTCTTCTACAAATAGAAACAGACACCAACTTGCCAGGTTAATTATCATCATTTTCCAGTTCATCTTGTACATGTCCAGATCATCTCCCATAAGGCACTCTTCTAACATTAAACATCTAAACTGCGGGCTACATTCCCTGCCTCTAACTTCAGCCTTTCACACATGCCCTAGTGGGCACCTATGTAGCAACAGTTTCTTTGCAGTTCTGTGAGAGCCATTTCACACATAGACTTGTATCTATCTGGTCACTGGGAGCATCGTCTTCTCAATCAGACTGTGAAAATCACCTGAAGACACAAACCATTGCAACTGTCCACGAGTCCTTTAGTTTATTTGAATACACACCTGTGATGGCCACTTAGTAAACATCTGTGGCCCTGGAGAACTGAAGGGAAGAGTTCAAATGCCCCAAGGCACATGAAATAAGATGGTCTAGGTCTAGGGCAGCATCGGATTCAACGGCTTTGTAGTCTTAATGAGCACTAACATGAACTCGGTATTTCCTTCATTGTCTCAAGTCGTTTATCCCTTGCAACAACTTGTGAATGTCGGTAGGGTGGATCCGGCTGACACCTGGGAATGGCTTAGAAAATTGAGGCTCAGAAGATAACTCCAGCCCAGCCTGGCAACCCAAATACAGTGCTGATTATGGCCAAATTGTATGGCAGGATGTCCTCTGAGAGCTGTAAGGAGAGCAAAAGATACCTAAAGAAGAACTAATTGGTCAGCCATTATTAAGATGTTTGTTTCTTTTTATTCTGATAAAATCTACCTCTCGGCAAGCATTACCAGTGAGAGCCACTAGAGGTCACATGACACAAGGATGGTTTGGCAGGTCTGGACAGCAGCCCTCAGAGAAAGTAGCCGCAGGGAGGTCTTGTGAGAGGGCTCCAGTGATAAAACCCTTGTCATAGCTTGGGGGTGGGGCAGTGCCTCAGATAAAGGAGGCAATCTGCCTCATCCCTAACTTCTGCCCATCAGTCTGGAGTCAGTATTGCAGGTAGCTATCTTGGCTGGGCCCTATGATCTCCAAATATCTCCCCATAGCCATGGTATGGCTCAAACCCATGCACTAGAACTCTATGTGCCACTGTGGTAATCATATAGACTATTAAAAAAAAAAAAAGAGCAAAGAAAGGACTGTTCTACACCCAACCCCTTCCTCAGAATCCTGAGTTTGCAACCAATGTTCCTGCGACTCTCACATAGGATGGTGAGAAACTTCTGGAACTCCTCCTCCAAGAGACCACACTGCAGATGTCATCACTGTTGGGGACCCTGGAGATCAGCTTAAAAATGGTGCTACAGAAGCCAGGCACTGGTGGCTCACACCTGTAATCCTAGCTACTCAGGAGGCTGAGATCTAAGGATCACCGTTCAATGCCAGCCTGGGCAGGAAAGTCTGTGAGACTCTGATCTCCAATAAACTGGAAGTGGTGCTGTGGCTCAAAGTGGTAAAGCACTAGCCTTGAACAAAGAGTTCAGGAACACGTGCCCAGGCCCTGAGTTCAAGCCTCATGACCACCCCCCACCAAAAAAAAAAAAAAAATTCTTTGGCCTAGAAAATATACCTGTTAGAATCTCCAAACTCCTAGTGAAGGGCACTTCCTCAGTAACCTGGTTCCATCAAATCTTGCTGTCTGACTGTTTTATTCACCTGGTGAATGTGTCAAGAGCAGAGAAACTCCTGGAAGTAGACTCCATTTTCAGTGACTAGCATCCTGCCATCTAGTTTCTCACCAGGCTGTACATTCCAGGACAGTTTCCCGAAGGACTCTATCTAGTCACTGTTCTTGGGGAAAAAGAACAGACTGCCATACCAAGCTCAGGGCAGCCCTAAATTTCCACAAGGAAACAGAAGACTAAAATCAGATGGGAAATTTGAGTGGAGGATGGGAAACATTTCTTGAGTTTATTTCCTAAACATGATTTTGTCCAAATATCTAGATTAACTTTAGATTTTAAATTTTTAAATGATTTCATTGAAAGCAGCTTCATTTGGCTGGGTTGATTTGAAAATTGAAAATTATGTTTCTAAAATCATGTCTCCGTAACCAAACTAAAGAAGCAAATGTATTTATTATACAAATAACCTTGATAAATACTAAGTTAAAAGGGGAGAGTAAGGGGGGGGGCAGAAGAGAAGGAATGGGAGGGGCAGAGAGCAAGTGGGGAGAGAGAGAAACTGAGATTTGATGCTTGTCTTAAAGACAGAGGAAGGGCCACAAAGCTGAGAAATGCAGACCATGCCCCAGAATAGATAAAGGAAGGGAATGGATATACTCTGTAGAGCCTCAAAGAGGAACAGAGGTTTACCTATACCTTGACTTTCACCCAGTGTTAGTCTGCTCAGACCACCATAGCAAATTATTATAGACTGGGTGGTTAAGCTATGAGTCTAATGTCAAGGTGCCACATTGTGGGGCTTTGATGAGCGCTCTCTTCCTGGATTAACAGTTGCCTTCTTACTATGTAGAGGGCTACCTTCTCTCACCATGCAAAGGAGCAAGCCTCCTTATCCTCATGACTCATCATGCGAATTCCACCTTCATGCCCTCATCTAAAGGCCTTACTTCCAAATACTGGTACACTGAGGGTTAGAGCTTCCACATGTGATAGACAGGACCACAGTTTGGTCCATTGCAGACACTCTAAGATAATAAAGTACATTTCTCAAAGCAGCGATAGGAAACCAACCTAATGTTACCTTGCATGCAACCACATGCACAGGGAGAAATAAGACAGGTAGTGGTTCTCCCTAGTTCTTTTCTTCTCTTATCCATGATGGGCATTTTTATTTTCATTTTACTTATTTTCTAATTATTTTCTCCACTAACACAAACTAACCTTAAAATATAAAACCAGGCTGGGCACCAGTGGTTCATATCTGTAATCCTAGCTACTCAGGAGATCTACTGGAGGTTCAAAGTCAACCTAAGGAGGAAAGTCCTTGAGATTCATGTCAAATTAACCACCAAAATGGTACAAGTGAACCTGTTGCTTGAATAGTAGAGCCCCAGTTGTAAGTAAAAAAGCTAAGGGACAGTACCCAGGCCCTGAGTTCAAGCCTCAGGATTGGCACAAAAAATAAACCAGTGATTAAATAAATATATAAAATTCGTTGACCCAGGTTGAATGCGGAAGAATGGAAGGGGTGACACTGACCAAGATACATTGTACTTATAAACTGATGTGTTTAGTTGAACCTCCTTTGCATAACTACTTAAAAGAAAATTTAAAAAAACTTAAATATAATTGGTCCTTGCTTCGACCTTCATCAGATCCACAGATCCACAGGTCTTTCTACCTTTCCAAGCAGCACACAACCACAGAGTTTAGAAATTCTATCAACTCTGTTCTCTTCAATAACAGTACTCGGTGAGGCCAATTAAAAAGCAAGGAAGAAGGATGGAATTTCACTCCAGAGTAGCTAAGGCTGTCTCTCAACAGGGGCGGAAAAGAAAACTAGGAAGCATGAATCTGTGTTTCCTGTTGATTTATCAGAAATAGTTAACCACATTCTCATCCAGAGAAGGCAAGCCATGCATGCTTGGCTGCCCTTCAGGAGTTTCCAAACAAGACGGACTTCCCTTGGGCATCGGTGGCAGGCTCTGCTGACAAGAGGGCAAAGAGAAGAATTCACAATTCCTCCCACCCGAGGGAACCCAGAGGGAAGAAGGTGGATTACATGGCGAAACACAGCTGTCAGCTCCAACCCTCCGCTCCTCCCATAGCAACAGACTGAGCTTAAAAAAAAAAAAAAAATCAAAGCATATGGATGCCAAGTTTGTAAAATTAATTTTAGCCAAGCTTTATTATTTGTGATTATGATGGTCCATGTACAGGGAGCCAAAGATCTGAACTCAAAAGATCCTTTGTTTCTACATTTCTCAAAAGAAGAGAAAGAGCCATCGCCCACTCTTACTTAAGAACCAAACCAAACCGAACAAAACCACCCACAAGACAACATGCCTTGGCCCAGGCTTCCTTTTCAAGGGCTTTCTTTCTTCACATAGCACTGGAGTGGGCTTGCAAATATCTAAAGTGACTCACACACACGTTCCCACAAAGAAAGCAAGGAGGTCAGGCATGGAACTTGTATTTCTCTCCTCACCCTGCTTGCTGATGGCCAGAGAGCACACATAGCTCACAATACAATTCCATCTGTGCCCATGTGCTGATGCCTTATTCTTTCATCCCCTCCTTTGAAGGCCCCAGGGTGGGAGAATATAATGATAAGAGTCCTCAGATCCTAAACCTTGCTCAGGAATGAGAAATGTCCTTAGCCTGGTCAAGTAGATCTGGGGGCAACGTGACTGCTCCAAGGCAAGTCGGAAAGGGGTGGGGTGGGTTTGATGAGTTGCTGATACTGGATCTGTCCTATGAATAAACCACCAGAAAACCGGAAGTGGTGCTGTGGCTCAAGTGGTAGAACACCTGCCTTGAGCTGAAGAGCTGAGGGACAGTGCCCAGGCCCAGAGTTCAAGCCCCACAGCCAATAAAAAATAATGACAAAATAAAAATTATATAGCTGGGTGGGGGGAGAGATGGGAAGGGATGTTAAGGGGGGAAAAATTATATAGCTGACTACTGAAAATAAATACTTGAACTCAGTTTTTTAAGAGAGACTTTAATTCTAAAGAAGTTCTCAAGAGGGAAGAGGCAACAGTCTACTGTGTGTTCAGTTTCTTATTCAAGTTCATAGCCTCTTAAGTGCAATTCTTAAAGTAGTTTTGCTAAAGTGCTCTTGGCTTTTCCTTAAAACCTTTGAGCAACTGTAATAACAATAATTGGGAACTTTTTTATGCACCAGACCGTCTTATCCTTTTTGTGACGTAGGTACTATTTTATTCCAATTTTCTAGTGAGGGAATTGAGATGTATTAGGAGGTGAGAAGTAAGCTACTCACACAGCTGGCAAGCAGCCAAGTCAGAAATTTACTTTACAATAAATGCAGAGGAGTAACTCAAACTTATTTGGTAATGAGAAATAAAAGAGCAACTGGTAATATGTGATGTTAGCTGTGTACCAGTTTGGGGAAACCTTTATGTTTTCCTTCAAGGTCATGAGAAATAAAATCATGACATGAACTACAAATGGATTCTTTAAGGCTCTTACTGTCTGACTTTCTTCTCTGCCTTTCGGCTTCTCAGTCTTCCACCCACTTCTCCAAGTACAGGCTTAGTCATAAAGATGATGCGGATCTGAAATTCCAATCTCCTTGGGAAAACCACAGCAAGTAATGACTTTTAGTAAGGGATACAGTAAAATTCTGCCCTGGCCCAGCTATCACAGGGTACATCCTGATCCTGAGCATTTAATTGGTTCTTAGTTCTTACTGGGGATCTTAAAAGAATTAAGTCCTTTGATTCATTTCCTCTTTGTCAGTTCAAGACTATGTTTTATCTTTGTAGATGGCCAAGTCTGATTCCTTGGAATATGTTTCACTAACTTGGAGCCCAGAGTAAGTAATATGTAAGTAAGCAACAATGAACTCATGGTTGTCCCCAGCAGGATATGAAAACTACCAGGAGCCAACCCAGATCTCCTGGACCTATCCACAGAGCTGGCACAAGTAGCTGTAATAATAAATTCTGTTTATACAGAAGGGAATCAAACAAATGGGACATGATCTATCTGCCTTTTCCAAAGTCCTACTGAGTCAAAAGCCATGATGGTAGGATTGATACAAGAAGCCTAGAATCTATATCTTCTCAGGAATTAGGCTGCTGGGTCAAACCACAGTATCTGCTCTTCCTAAACCCTTCAGAGTAATGTCTAATGAATTCTAGAATTTGAGGAGTCCTATTTTCATTATAAATGTTTACCTTTTGCCAAATACACTTCAATGTAGGCTTTTCCTACCAATTTTCCTCCTAGTAGCAAATATATTTGGAACATATTTGTGGGTTCAGAAAGAAAGAGAATGAAAGAAAGCAATCATAACAGTCAAGGACCACCAGTTAACTAATTTAATTGATTGACCCCACGATGCCAAACATGTTCATATTCAGTTAATGAAGCGAACATGCATCCTGCTCAGACACAGATTAAGACGTCAGCTCCTGAGAATGAAGGAGACTGTTTCTGGAGTGAATGGCTGAACTTCTTCCTAGGAAATGAACTTCCTGAAAGAACTCACAGCCAGGCTGGATTAGCATTGTGGTGATTCCTTTATCTGCCTACATCTTTGGACCTACCAGCCTATTTGTGGCGGGGGACATGGGGGGGTGGGGGGGGAGAGCGCAATAGGAATTCAGACCTAAAGCACTGAGGAAAGAATTTAGGTCTCTGGGATAGCACTATGTCAGCGTCTCTGTGAGTCAAGCTCACTCTCTCAGAATGTTACAAACAGAAAATTCTGACATTTACCATGGCTCTAAGAAAGAGGGTCAGAAAGAACTCAGAAAACACAGGTGTGAGGATGAGGCTGGGCGAATAGTTCAGTCACTGTTGGCTGACGACAGGAGCTGTCCCCATGTGGAACAGGCTCAAATCACAAGAAAGGCTGGGAGAAATAGGAGCCTGGGTTTGAAACCAGAAGCTACATTTCCTGCTTTGAGTGACCTAGGCAACACGAATCCTTCTAGACTAGTGTCAAACGCCTTAAAAGAGAATAATACTACAGATATACATTCCTTTGAGCATAATTCCAAAATCCAAAAAAGCTCTGAAAAAAAAAAATTAAGCTTTTCCGTAACTTCCTTGGCAGTCAAACCTGCCATGAGAGGATATGAACGTCTTCTCTACTTATTTGGATAGCACCTAAGTTTCACAGCCAAAACTTAATGTGATGACAGAGTGCTGGCCCAGAAGAACCTAGGGAACAGGGCTTATGGCTAGAAAATGTATTCATGGGAAGAATTAGTGTATCTCTCCTTCCTCAATAGATTTTCTGTCTTTCAGTGGATTTTATTTGCCTTAAGGTTATAGGATTCCAGCCTATGACCAGCATGATTTCTCCCAGGAGTCAGGAACTGTATTTTTTTGTCTCATAACACATCATCCAGCCGAGTCACTCAATAAACCAACTGAGTCACTCCTTCTGGCAGGAAATGTAAAGCAAGTGCAGGAGGGAATTAGCAATTTATCTCATTCACAAAACCAAAGTTGGAGCCAGCCATTTTGATCTTGGCCATGAATTGTTCCGTTTGGCTACTGAGAATAATGTGCCCACTTCCTCCTTGATCATGAATTTGGAGGTTACAATACAAGTTTCCAGACATGGATAGAAAGAGCATCGCTCCTTTTGCATTCACTTTCTATCTATGCATGTTGTGACTTCTGTGGAGTCATGATTACTGTCTTTAAAGGCCCGAGAGATAAGGAATAAGGTGTGTGCATATCAATATGACTATTCACCTTGGCAATGAGATTGGCACTGCTTCCGCCCAAATACAAACAGAAAGAAAAAAATGGGAAAGAGAACAGTTTTCAATTAACCAAGATAAGGTAGATCAACATTCAAGGAACGACATTCTTGCATCTGTAGAGAAAAACCAAACACAATGCAGGCTCCCCATCCTTCCAGGATACCCTGACCCTCTTGTTGCTGAAATCCTCCTGCCAGGAGTAAAGACTACACACACAACCCCAACCATCGGCTGGAACCACATTTCTAAAGCCTCTGTATTCAGGACGCAGGCTTCGCTTACCTGGGGCGGTTTTATAGCATGAGGCTCTGGAGGGCAGCGATGGGGCGTTCTTGGCCCTGGGGCTCGGTGTGCTCTGCAAGACCTGTCTCTGCCGCTTTAGCTCCTCTTCCCTTTCCTGGGCTGCTCGGATCTCTTCTTCAATCATGGACAAAGTCCGCTGTTTCCTTGACCTCAACTTGAAGGGCCCAACCATCACATCAGATTCTTGAGTAGCCAGGAGGGAAGCTGTGCTTCTCAGCTCAGCTGCCTCTGAGTACTTGCTGAAATAGCCTCCTTCTGGAGGCCTGGTCTCCTCCATGTTGACTGGGCCACTGGGCTGCACAGCCACAGGTGACTGGCCGGGCCCCCTCTCTCTGAGAGCCCTGTCCTCGGCAGGCAAGATCTTTGGTTTGACATCCCTTTTCTCTTGAACAGGAGAGGACACCTGAGGTGGGGCAAACATGCCTCGAGGCTTCTGGGATCCAGAAGCCCCGGCTTCAGCTTCCTCTAGAGTTGCTTCAGGTCCCTGGGATACGGCCTCCTCTTTGCTGGTTTGGGACCCAGCCTTGTCTGCTTGCTCAGCTATGGCTTGTTGAATGGCATTTTGTACTAGGAGCCCAGCCTGATATTCTAAGGGGTCATCGACGGGTGGAGAGTCTGCCAGGGTGGAGGAAGGAGAATAGAAACCATGGTCGCTGAAGGACTTGGAGACCCCTTCTCGGCCTTCTGAGGGGTTGTCTGTCTGCGGAGTGTGAGGCAGAGAGAAGTCAGCCAGTGAGTTTTCCTGGAGGGCATTGGGAGTCTCATTGGAGGCCCCGCTGTCACTGATGTTGTCCATGCTGAAGTCATTGGACAGGCTCTCCAGCACCGTGGTGTCCTGCGATCTAACCGATAGCTCATCCAAACCTGAGTCAAGCTCTTCTTGGGTCAAAGACACATTGACCGATCTTGAAAACTGATCCAGAATGCCATGTTCATCATCCTTGACCACGGTGAGGACCGCCCGGGCGCTGGTGAACTCTCCGTCCTCTGCCCACAGTTTGGCTAAGGGACCCCGTTTGGAGGGTTCGCTGTAAGGTCCTTCCTTTCCCTGAGGGGCTGTGCTGCCTGGGCCTCCTCCTGTTGTCTGGCTCTCAGAAAGCACACAGGGCGCTTTCTGCCCCTTTGCCACCGATGTGCCGTTGTCTTCTGGAGATCCCCCCATAGAAGCTGGCCGAAGGATGGTTGGTGGTTTGTCTGAGTGGATGGAGCCCAAAGGCCTGTAGAAAGGCTTGATGGAGAACAGCCTGGGTGCGCTCTGGCCCTTGGCCACTGTTTGCCTGGAATTATCCATCTGCTGGAACTGCTTGCGCGCTGCAGAGAAATCTATCTGCTCTGTGACAATGGCCTCCTTGGTGTGTTCAGTCCCACCCGAACGGTCAAGAGAGGAAGCAGGGGCTGCACAGAGCTGTGGCTGCTGCTGCTGCTGCTGCTGCTGCTGCTGCTGCTGCTGCTGCTGCTGCTGCTGCTGCAGCTGCTGCTGCTCCTGCTGTGCCCTTCTCTCCTTGCGCTCCTTGTACTTCTTGTGCGACTCCAGATGTTCCTCGTCCAGCTGTTCCTCCAGGGTTTTTTCCTGGGGAGGATTCCACCATTTAGCTGCAATGCCAGGATTCTTCTTCACCGCTTGACTCCGGATGAGCTCTCTGCGCTCCTTCTCCAGCTCCAGCATCTCTTCAGAGGGCCTGACTTTGCGGACGCAGTATTGGTCCTTCACATGTTCGTCTTCCTCGAAGAGCTTCGAGGGTTTCTTGTCCTCGTGGAAAGCACGCAGCTCAAACTTGGCCTCCTTCTTGAGCGTGGTAAGTGTGAGTTCCCCATCGCGGGAAGAACAGCGGGAGCTGGTGGAAGAGCTGGGGCTCGCAGGGGCCTGCAGGCTGTCTCCTAGGGGTGGGTCCGGGGTGTGACCGTTTGCTCGTTCTGCCTCTGCCATGGTGTCCGAGGGGCTTCTACTGAGTTCAATGTGAGGAGGAGCTGGCCTGCCAGCTGCTCTCTCTGCAGGTTCTGGTTGGGTGGCTTCGTGGGCAGGTGGGCCTAGGCTGCCCACCAGGATCGCTGCACGGGGCTCTGGGGAAGAGGTTCCGTTGTAGGTTCCATCCACAGCAGAGTCACAGCAGTTGGCCTCCAGCACCTCGTCTAGATATTGGATCTCCCTGGCCACATCATTCTCCAGGGACTCGTGGTGGTCAGGGAGGAGGCCGTTGTGCGAGGGTGAATAGAAAGGAGAGGAGCGGTCTGTAGAGAGGGTCGAAGTGACTCCAGAAACGCTTTTACATTCTGTAACAGACACCTCAATTTCCATGTTTTTGTGATCTGGGGGAAGAGTGCTGGTGGCGGGTGCCAGGAGATTGGCAGTGCGGTCGTCTCTCGCGTTCCTTAGTAGGATATCATCCTGGGAAAGCTGGGGTGGCTTCTGAAATAAAGACAAAACAAAAGCCAGGTTACAGGGTACCTCGCTCATGGATGTGAAGGCTGAGAAATTTGCTCACAACCAATAGGAAGAAAGTCTGGAAACAATAAAGGTCCTTTGAATAATAACAGTATTTTTAAAATAAAAATTCCTTTTCTTGGGTGTGTGTGTGCACGTGCACATGCACCAGTACTGGGGCTTGAACTCAGGGCTCTGTAGTATCATTTAATTTTTTGCTAGTAGTCTACCACCTGAGTCACACCTCTTCTTCTGGCTTTTTGCTGGATAACTGGATGTGGGTCTGATGGATTTGTCTACCCAAATTGGCTTTGAATCTCAATCCTCAGGTCTCAGCCTCCTAAGGAGCCAGAATAACAGGTGCAAGCCACCAGTGCCTGGCTTGATAACCCCTTCCAATAATTCTGTAAATACTCATTTTGTGTGGGAACATGTGCCTAACTCTCTCCCAAGTTTACAGATTCCATTGTGTGTATGAATGGTCAATGGACACTAGTTCTTTTTAAATGTTTTTGTCTTCCAGAATAGAATATACGTAATGTGCAAAATACTTCACAGCAAACTACCACAGACTTTCTAAGACTATTTATGTGTCCCCCAACTATAAAAAGAGGTCCTTTTATATGAATGATTCTTCTAAAAGAAAAAATTAGATTCTCTGCCAGATGTAATGCAAGGAACTTTGGAAAAAATCTTTCCACAATAACATGCTGAAAAACAGTACACCCTTTCAGTCACCTCTAAAAGCTACAGTACCCCATTACCATGACTGTAATTGACCACACGCATTATGAACACTATAACCAAAGCTACTGACTGTGCACTTCCATCCTCCAGGACTGCATCAAAACAATACTTCTTAGTTACATGTTGCTTTGAAAAGATAGTGGCCATCAGTTCCTTCCTTCTATGTTAAAAAAATGTTCTCTATGTGATATTCCCATTTGTGATTAAGTAAGAATGTTACCTACACCTCATAATTTATTCAACTATTTGCTTGTTTTTTATGTATGGCTTTATTGTTTTGTTTTGCTTGCTTTACCACTGGAATATTCAGACCAACAGAAAGAGACACACAGTGAGATTCAAGGAGAGCCTTGAGGCGACCCCATGTCCAGCTTCACCCCACTAGTCAATTATTGCTAATGCTTGTTGAGAATAGCTGAACTTGTCCACTAGCCCTTTGAACTTTGGGAAGAGAAAGAGAATCTGGAAGATAGCAGGAAAATGCTGGGAGTGAAATGTGGTTAAAAATCCCTCTTCTAGCCAGATGTCTATGGATCACATTTGTAATCCTAGCTATTCAGGAGGCTAAGATCTGAGGACCTCAGTTTAGCAAGACCAACAAATCTGAGACACTTTCATCTCCAACTAAACCAGCAAAAAGCCCTCAGTGGAGCTGTTGCTCAAGTGGTAGATCATCAGCCTTGAGCAAAAGGGAGAAGGGACAGTGCCCATCTAGACCCTGAGTTCACACACACACACACACACACACCATTCTACTGGAACATTTTGGAACAGCTGGAGGGAAAAAAGGGGCAATGTAATATTAAAGGAAGCTAGAAGGCAAATAATTCCATATTTCATTTATTCACTAATCCCTTTATGCTGGAAGCTTATTATGCAGAGCCACGATAAAATTTGCATCAATAATAAACCCCAGACCACAAACCAGATTGGGTTTCCTATGCTTCCCACAAGCACAAATCTACCCTAGAGTTGTTTTAGAGCTTGCCTCTATTTTTTTATACTTTTTTTTAAAAAAAATTTTTATCATGAAAATACTGTACAGGAGTTACAATTACATGGGCAAGATAATGACTACATTTCTTATCAAGCATTGTTGCTTCCTCCTTTGTTTCCCCTTCCCATCCCTTCACATATCCTGCCCCCCCCATATTCTCCTCCTTCCCCCCCCCCCCCGGCAAAATTGTAAAGTTCGTTTTTAAAGATAACGACTTGCACATCTCATTGTTGCAATGAGTCCACCTGTATCCCTATTTAAAAGATCTGTTTTTTTCCATTCCTCTCAAAAATTATATCAACCTCAAATACAGTGATAGCAGAGGTTATATCGTGGGGGAGGGACACACAAAGCAACAAAAAAATAAGCTTATAAATGATGCTGGAGGGGATGTGGACAGAAGGGAACCTTACTGCATTGTTGGTGGGAGTGTAAACTTGTTCAACCACTTTGGAAAGTAGTATGGAGGTTCCTCAAAAGACTCCACATAGAGCTCCCCTATGACCCAGCAATACCACTTTTGGGCATTTACCCAAATGTTCACAAACAAGACCACACTAAAGCTACCAGCACGACTATATTTATTGCAGCATTATTTACCATAGCTAAGATATGGAACCAACCCAAATGCCTCTCAGTAGATGAATGGATCAAGAAAATGTGGTCTATATACACAGTGGAATTCTATGCCTCCATCAGAAAGAATGACATTGCCCCATTTGTTAGGAAATGGAAAGACTTGGACAAAATTATACTAAGTAAAGTAAGCCAGGCCCAAGGAAACCTAGGCCCCATGGTTTCCCTTATTTGTAATAACTAGTATATGTCTGAGACAAGCAGAAAAGGTCAGATATGTTGATGTTAGGTGAAATGAACCCCCAAGATAAGAATTCAAATGTTTTTTACTTCCATGCGATTGTTTCTAACATATTTATACGCTTATTTCTTTGCCTCTATCTATTTGTGTCTTGCTGCTAATCACAGAGACAGCTTGCGTAGGCCAGTCTCACACGAATCTGTGGAGAATCCTTTCTGCTACCATATATCACCCCTGTCTGTTTCTCAGTTCAAGTGTCACAGTTCAAGTATTCCATAGCAGACAAGCAGATTCATTGCCAGATCTTTCTGTTTTAGACTCAAAAACTATATCCTCTTTTCAAGGCATACTTTTTGAACTTGAAACATCTGTTTGGATGCAATCTTAAGAGAATCTGGAAGAGCATTTGATAGTACATTTTTGCCAAATCAAAAACTACTGCCTTTGAGTCAGAAATGATCATCAGCACTACATGTTTTGGGGTCTGCCAGACCAAGATTTTTGAACATGTCAGTTGCTGGTTAAAAATCAAAAGTTTGCACTGGGGGCCAGTGGCTCATGCCTATTTGGAGACTGAGATCAGAAAATGGAGGCTCAAAGCCAGCCTGGGCAGGAAAGCTCATGAGATTCTGATCTTTGATCAACCACTAAAAATGCTGAAAGCAGAGTTATGACTCAAGGGGCAGAGTACAATAGAATAAATCGTAGTTTGGGGGTCCAGTGAAACATGAGATAGTTTCCTTTAAATCTGGACACTACAAGGCACAATCAAGAAAGCAGTTCTCCTTCCTGTGAGTTGAGGCTAATTCTGTTCTTTTCAATGATTCACAAATGTCTTCCTAACACTCAATTCCAACTCCAGGCAGCAGCTGCTCTAATACCCTTATCAACTGTTTATGCAGAGATGAACAACTCTTCCTTATTGAATCAAAAGTTCTGAGTTTTGAGGAAGTTAGATAACAATTATAACACAAGAAGAACCAATTCCCAGGTTTTACTCTCAGGAAAAAGAATTCATATTCCTGGGGCTGGGTACATGGCTCAGTGGTAGAGCGCTTGCCTTGTATGCATGAGGCCCTGGGTTCAATTTCTCAGCACCACATAAGCACAAAAGACTGGAAGTGGCACTGTGGCTCAAGTGGTAGAGTGCTCACCTTGTGTTGAAGAGCTGAGGGACAGTGGCCAGGCCCAGAGTTCAGGCCCTACGACCAGCAAAAAAAAAAAAAAAAAAAAAAAAAAAGAACTCAAATTCCTACGGAGTAGGCCAGATGAATCAAAGTCATTAGTAAGTACCAAATGGTAAATGGAAATGAGCTGGGAATATGGAATCAGCCTGGATTTGGCAAGAGTCTAGGCTTAGTATCATTACATGACATCTTGTTTAAAGCAACCCATACTTACTGTTACACCTTTGAAGAGAAAACCTGAATTTTTCTCCATCAGATAGGGTGAACTGATTCTGCAGTCAGATAAAAATATACACTCATTTTGGGGCTGGGAGGGTGGCTCAGTGGTAGAGCGCTTGCCTTGCATGCCTGAGGCCCTGGGTTTGATTCCTCAGCACCACGTAAGCAAAAAGAAAAAAAAAGCCGGACGTGGCGCTGTGGCTCAAGTGGTAGAGTGCTAGCCTTGAGCTGAAGAGCTGAGGGACAGTGCCCAGGCCCAGAGTTCAAGCCCCATGACCGCACCCCCTCCCAAAAAATATATATATACACTCATTTAACTGGGAAGTTCTTTCTGGAAATAAGTTATCTCCATTTTTTTTTTCAGAGGAAGATGTGAAAGAATCACCAAATTGGGTTTTCTAAGATCAAAGAAAATCAGAGTGCAACCCCCCCAAAAAAACTGGGGTGTGGGGGGGCCCCCTCTGTGGGCAATCTCTGCTATGCCCAGTCAGCCCTCCAGGGGGAGCCCTAATACCACAGTACATGAATACCTCCTGCCACAGGTGTCCCAGAATAGCTAACAGCTAGTTAGGTTGTCTACAATGTTCTCGGAAACGTTTGGACAGAGACTATATAACACAGCTGTGTGTTTCTGAAATTAGTTTAAATTATATTCCAAGGGCAGGCAGATGGCCATCCAAACTGGAAACATACCCTCAAAGAGCAGTCAACTAAGGTGTCATCAGAAATCCCACGTTCCACAGGTGGTGGTCTGTAGTACTTCAGCTCTCTTTTAACTCCTGCAGACCCCTGAAGCTTTGCTGACTAGCATAATGAAAGTGAGAAATGGGTTTTCTTGGGTGAACTTAGCGCCTTGTCCATTAGCAATAATGAATGATAGAACTGGGTGAGCTTGGGGGAGTTCACCTATGAGCATTGGAGATCTTCCCCACACCAGGCTTGTACCACACAGGCTGGAGTTTGAGAATTAACAGTTCTGTTTCCCAAGGACTTTCAGGGAAGCAGAATACTGTCTCTA